ATGTCGTATTTCATAATCACTGATCTTGGCGCCAAATAAAGTCATATCGAACTGTAATGCCTAAATTTCCAACAACTTTGGCGATCGACAGCAACAAAGGCGGGCTAATTAGCTTACCAGCGCTGTATATATTCACAAATATACATGTACTCTCGTATGTTTATGTGAACTTTTCCACAATGCTATACAGCGCCTGAGGGAGTGTATGGCGGCCAAACTGTTGTTATCTAATAAGCACCATGATTTATTGGCGTATGTTACTTGGATAACCGTCTGTCTCGATTGTATTATATTTAAATTGAGCTTCCCTAACCCCTACTATTTATAATTATTTTACTTAACTTGAAATTTCGCTTTCATGCCGCTCATTTCGGTTAACTGTTTTTCGCCTCTTTCAGTTCATGCTGTGCCCAAATTAAATTTCACAGAGCTTTTTCATGCATGCGAATCGAACGACTATTGTCTATAGTTTTGCTTGAATAATCAGCACTCTTTTCCTTTTTCCTTTTGCATACATGTATGTAGGTATGTATGTAATTTTTGGGCTACTTTATATATGTAAATGCAAACGTGTGGATGTTTACGTGTTATGCTCGTAAAACTCAACGTTATAAAAAATGTAATGAATGTATGTCTGTGGTGTATATGAAAGTCATTTACTAATTTCTTTTACTTTTCTTAGTAAACTACTTTATTTAGCTAAATTACACACCTGTAAGTGTACTATATTTCAGTATAAACCTGTCAGGGAAGTCAAATGACTCTATAAATTTACGTTATGGCAAAGAAAAATAAATTTTGCTTATACTTTGAACAGTAGCTGTAGACATCGGGTGGTAATGGTGAACCAACACAACATACATTGATTGAAGTATCTTTTTTATGCTAAGTACTTACGACTTACATCATACACTACAGGCTCATAGCTATTTTCGATATTATATCTTAAGAAATTTTGCCTTGAATTTTCGTAGCTGCTGCTTCCGCACCTGATCCACATAACTACCAAATTTTACCCGAACTGGTTCATTGCACACATAAACCGAATCGATAAACACTTTTCCTAGATTGGTATACATTTTTATTGCTCGTGTGAAGTTTGATCTCCATATGCCAATTACTGTGTGTTTGGCAGCTGTTTGTTTGTCAGAAGTGTTTTGAACAGTCCACTTTATCATGAACACAAGATTTGGGTGGTACAAAATATTCAGTCAAGGTTGTGAAATCATCGAAAACTTGCCTCATCCGAGTCGTCCATTCCTCCGCTATTAATGACGGGTGTTAGAGTTAAAGAAATAATACTTGGAAATCATCGTGTTGGCATCGGAAAAATAGCGGAGGATCTGAATATCTCTTATGGATCGACTCAACCAATTTGGTTAATGTTTTGGATGTGATGCCTGCCAATGCTAGACTCGTACCAAAAGACCTGAACGACGTCAAGTAGAAGTCGCAAGACCAGATGGTTAACAACGTAGCTGAGGATCCTACATTTATCAAACGCTTCATTACTCGTAACGAGTCGTGCGTTTATGAATTCGCTCAAAACAGTGAAGGTTATCCCAGCCGGCGCTTGGCAGGCTTGTATTTACCCAGGAGCCTTTTTTGAAGGCGAAGGTATTAAAATACGTGAACATTTTTTGTTAGTCCGGATCAAATTTGATTAGCTGGTATTTTTGGTATATGGTTTATGAGATCAGTTCTAAAAGTAAGAAAGTTATTTATTTTTTTTTTTTTGATATATTTTTTTATCCAGAATGGAAAATGAAAGTTGAATACTAAAATGGATTTTTCCAATCATTCTCTACAATCTAATGAAATAATATCTATTAGTCATAAGAAATATACACAAAAGCGTTAAAAATAGTGATGAAGTTAATTTTTTATCTAACGAACCTTTATTTATATATTAATAAGAAAACAACAATATAAAAATTCTCCAGTCCAATGAAGTTTTATTTATTTTATTAGCACTATATTTAATAAATGATGTTGTAAATTTAGGGTTAAGTTTAATTCTTGCAAATTGCAGTGAAATGAAAAATTCACGCTGAAGAAGTCATCGTTACGAAAAAAGACGATGACGACTGACCAACCAATTCGGTCAAGTGAATTCTTCATTTCCATAGACTAGAAACACTCGATTTTTCTGAATTTACCATGCTAAGGTTTTAATAAAATACATTCTTTAATAAAGTTAGTTTTTCATTTAAAGTTACGCAAATATTAAATAGTTCACCAATTTTTGAGTTTTTTGTTACTTTTTTATTTAAAATAATTTTGAATCGCCTAATACACTCATTACAGTTCTTTTTTTATATTTTTGTTTTTAATTTTAAAACTTATTAATTTGTGCACAAATTACGGTTTGTATATTTCGTATTATTATTATTTTTTATTATAAAACTTATATTTTGCAATTGATAGAACCTTGCTATTTTGCTATATTCCTTACGGTTTTGTTAATGTTAGATAATTTACTTGTATATGATTATAATGTTATAATATTAAGTATGCGAATATTCACTTATTTATTTGCTTGGATGTACTGAAAAACATTTTCGATATATTTGAATCATTTTACATTTTTAAGGCTACCGTTATTTAAGTTGTTCTGTGTTGTTTGTTTGTGTTGTTTTGTTGTTTCGGATACATCGATGGGCTCACTCGTATTTTGAAATATTTTTAGACATTTATAGAACTTAGTACTCCGACGCACCCAATACACTGTACATCAAGCGATTAAAAGATGAACTCTGACGGATGGAGTCATCTTGTGAGTTTACCACCTGGAATTGGAAAAATATCGCGGAATAATTAATTAAAAATTTTGAAAAATATATTAATTCATAAATGTATATATTTTTTTGTCATCTTTGTAGACAATTTGGAACAGTACGGTTAAAAAACAATTTAAACAGTGATTATTTCGATTTTATAGAAACAATTCATTAAAATAATTCAGTAATTTCGCAAAATGTCCAACAAAGGCTCAGAATGATATCATTGCATATCACCAAAATTCAGAATTTTTGTTAAATTTCAAGTAAGATCCATTAGAGATAATCAGATTTTATGGCAATCAATCACTATCATCTCAGGACGTTCTTCTCGAAAAAGAAAATAAATCGAAATCTGAACTAGGTTAGATTAGGTTCGATGGCTGATCCCTAAAGATTTCGGGGGATCGCACTTATATAGTAGTCATATACAGTTCTATATGAATACAGATAAGAACTCCTGTAGTTGCATATTAACTTTTGATTAAGCGGCTTGAACCTACCAAAATTCAAATCGGCTTAGGTGCGAAATCTTAACTAAGTTTGTAGCAAAGTACATACTTGGTTCCTCTCTCAGAATCATTTGTTTTCAAATTCAATTCTCAAAATAATCGGCTTCATACTACTGGTTGATGAAGTTTTAGACTCGATATTGATGATTATTTATTAAATGAAGAAGTGAATTGCTGCGAAAAAATTCTTTCTCAATATAAATTTTATCGAAATGACGGATTTTCACTAGGCTTTTGATATCAAAAAAAAGTGTTGGTTCCAAATATTACCACAAGGATGTTTGAGGTATAAAATATAAGGTTATAAGATTACTTACATTGTACGCCGTGTGGTGAACGGGCGTTGAGCTGGGTTTCTGAAATACCGTTAAAAATAATAGTTAATAAAAAATTGCAGACTTCGAAATACTAATTCTGAAGTTGAAATGATCTTGTGATAAAACATTAATATTCTTTTTAAGACAATCGATACAAGAGGTGTGTTCGTTATAGGATATCTGGTAATGAGCAGTATTGGAATTCAGATAATGGTGTTTGTTTTAAATGAATAAAATTGAGAACGCTATTTGACAGTTATTGCGGACAACTGCTGAGAGCAGATGACATTTAATGATTGATAAAATTGACAGCGCAATTTGACATTTTCTTCTGAGAGTATTTAGCGGCGACTACTGATCATCCTATAACGAACAAATCCGATAAAGCTAACAAACTGTTATTTATAAATGTTATTTGTTAAGCTACAATAATTTGTAATTTATTTTAATACGAAATAATTTGATGATTTTATGTACACAGATGAGAACTAATTCGCTTAAATGGATAATTTGATTGACTGCTGCATTGGTTATTTTCAGATTAAAGTTAGATATTGCAGATTTGAAGAAAAAAAATTTTCAAAAATTTCTACACCCAAAAAGTGTCGAGTAAAAACCCATAAAAGACAACAATTTTCACATAAGTTTTATGACTACACATACGATTACAAAAAAAGGAAAGTAGGATAGCTGGTGATTGACAAATGATGCGATGCAGCAATTTGAGCCTGCGAGCGAGAGAGCTGTCAAAAATTCTATACACAACGACGCATGCGTTAATCTCTATGTAATGAAGAGTACTTAAAATAAAATATTAAACATTTATATATGAAAATAATATGATAATAATTAATGCGATGAACACAAAATTTTTATTTTTCGATTTGCTGACCACTCGGAATATCAGCAATGCAACACGCATAGAGAGATATATATTTTGTTTTAGCGTACGAGAGTCTCACATGTAAACGCAGCATATCTCTATCTTCAGTCTTTTTTTGAGCTTTTTTAAGCTTGTTTTTTTATTAATATTTTTTGGTGACCACGAGCATGCGTATGTGCGTATGATAACGGTGCATATCAATGAACGATGATCAGTGATCGATTTTCGATGATTGATCGATGAACGCAAGCAGCAAGTCATTACGACCTTACCTTTCCTGGAACCAATCGGTTTGGTTGGAAGACCTTTGGCTGTACCGGCACTGTCACTTCCTGTGATGGGGCATAACCATTGCCATAGCCCTCCTCCTGTATGGCTCTATAAGTTTCGCTCTTCGATGGATCAAAATGAAGAGTCTTCTTATAACTGTACAACGTTGTGGTGCATAAATATATAGTTTATTTTTAGTTTATATCATTATGATTATTTTTGTTTTTAATTATTTCGATTTTTTTGTATAATTCCATTTTTTGACGTTTTCCATTATGGCATTACATTGTGGTAATTATGTAATCGATATGTAATTTGTTTTTGATTCAATTGCGCATATTGCAAGTATACCATGCCACAGTATCGATGGCGTCCGTGGTTTATAGGTGTCATTTGTGGGCGAACAATGGCACAGTTCAACGAGTTTTTTCGGTGTAACGAAGCGTTTTTTAATTGTCACAGTTTTTTGAAGATTTCGAAATTGTTAGTTTTGTTATTGTTGTTGTCGTTGTTGTTTTTTTTTTTGTTTTTGTTTTACAATTTTTAGTTTCATTTTTGTTTTATACAACAATAATAACAATATCGTTTTTATTTTGTTTTGGTGTGGATTTAAGTTCAGCCCCAATCAAATCATGTCGCATTTAGTTTTTGAATATGCAATATACATCGATTTTGTATAATATATATAATTATATATATAATTTTTTTTTTTTAGTTTTTGACATTGCAGTTTCGTAGAAAATTTGTGTATGTGTTTGTGTGAGAGAGAGAAAGAAAAAAAACAGGATGTGCACAATACGTTAGAATTAATAGTCATTAAAATTTTGCAAACAAATTAATATTTTGTGTCTATTATAATTTGTTTAAAAAATGAATTTAGTATGTATGTATGTATGCAATTTGTGTGTGCGAGGATGAGCAGTGTGCAAATGTTTGAATATGCGACTACATATGTAACTACGCGTATGCATGTAAAATTGATTATGTAATGTCAACGACATGAGTAGATAAATGTATGTATATATATATGAACTATGTATGTACGTATTTACATATGCAGCAGCAACTCTTAAGTACTAAATCATAACGCAATTCAGGCAATGCATGGCAAAAATCGGTTAGTAAAACTATTTCAGAGCATTACCGTTATTGTAATTACGATACTTTTTTATGCATTAAAATTCTTCTAGATTTCAAAAATTTTAATTTGGAAATAAACACTATGTATTTCATTACTGTATGATGTAGTTTGCATATATGTATGCAAGTGAGTCTTTTCGTGTGAGTAAGTGATCAAGCTTTGCTCTCTGCTCTGCAAAGCCGTTAACCAATGGAGAAGCACCGTATTATTAATACTTAATAATTTTGGTAATCAAAAGTAGTGCAGGATTTGTAAACAGCAAACTTTTGGTGGGTTTTATTAAAAATAATTTCTTAAGGGCGATAAGTGTGAGTGTAATATTATATAATATTTAAAACAAAAATCACATACAATATTTTTAAGTATTAAAAAAAAAATTATTAATTTAGTAGCACTGAAATTGTGGTGCCATTAATAATAAAAATAACTATTAGAATGAAACAAGAAATTTCAAGTAAAACATTTTGTTGAAATTTACTAAATATGTAGATTAGGGTGGGCTAAAAAAAGTCAAATTTCTAATATTTTTAATACTTCCATTTATGTTATTATAAAATGTCTTTATACCGTTTATTTCAACCACTCTAACGGAAAAAATATGTATATGAAACTATCGAATAAAAACAACACATGTCATAAAAAACAAGAAAAAAAATTAACTTTGGCTGCACCAAAGCTATAATACCCTACACAGGTGGATATTTTATAGCATGAAAAAGTAAAAAAGAGCTTTTTTTTGAGTTTGCTCAGTCAGTTTATATGGCAGCTATATGCTATAGTATATGTTCGGAGATTATAGCGATACTTGATGTTAGAAATTTTGTGACAATACCTTGTCAAATAACAAATTTTTCGGTACAAGGACTTCAGTTCGATCGGTCAGTTTGTATGGCGACTATATGCTATACTTGTCCGATATTGGCGGCTCCGACAAGCAAGTTGGTATCTCAAAAACTGAAGGAGTAGTTCGCGACTTGGCTAAATCGACTCAGCTCGTCACGCTGATCATACATATATTCGTACATATGTTATTTTGTGAAATAATGTAGAAATAATCTTTAACTATTTAAGGTTAATATTATAATTAATATTAATATTAAGAGTTCAAAGTTTACCGGAATTTTTTTTTCGACATTTCGGACGATATTTTCACGGTATCTAAGGAAAGGAAAAAAATATTGTATACGATTTTTTTTAACCCACCCCAATGTACATACACCACATGTTAATTTGGGATAAATTATTTTAAAAAAAATGTATACTAAATTTTCATCTATGCCACAACAACCAATTAAAAATCTATGCACGCTGCCATAACCTTACTTAAAATTTATTTTAAGATTATTGTGTTAAAAGTTGCTAAATGTGGTGCTTATGAAGGTATGGATGAATATTACAGGCCAATTGAACGTTTTACAACAAAAAAACAAATTCAGTTAAAAAAGGAGTATTAATTGTTGAAAAAAAATCGCTAAGTATTACAATTAGATTTATGCGCTAATTTTTTCAAGTATTGTGCTGAACTTTTTAAATTTTCAAATATTATTAATTGTGAAATATGAAAGCTCGCAATTTCGTTCGAAACGAAGTCGCATTATCATTTTTGTGCTTATATGTCTAGTCTTTCTTCTTTTTTGTGGGATATTGGTATGTTTTTTTAGTTTTCTTTCGCTATATAATTCTCTTTAATTTTTTGGTTTTGAAATTTTTGTATTTTAATTTTGTAATTGTTGCTGTTTTTGTTGGCGTTGCTGTTGTTCTTGCTGTTCTTTCAGTTCTCTAAGTTTTTGTTGCTCCAGTATGTTTCGTTTATGTTCCAGGAAAGATAGATCGATGAAAATTCTAATATTAATTTTGCAGCTTTGTCCTTTTTTCACAAAATATTAATACATTTTGTTTTTTAATTAATATTATAAATGCTACTTAACACAATTAGATGTGCAATAGTAGTAATGCCTTCAGTGAAAGGTACTTACTATTCCAATATTTGTTTATATGTTTAATCAATATTTTGTAAGTGTGGTGTTTAAATTTATATTTTTTGGAACCTAACTTCCTCTAAGGAAGTAACCTAACCTCAATTAATCAATTACATTTTTTAACCGTTCGTTAATCGAAGAAATATAATATGTATAATTGAAATATTTTCAATATAAATGTATTTAAAACTAAAGTGTTTTCCGAAAAGTGTTTCTAGACAAGCACAGTTAGGGTTTAAGGGCCACTAGCACAATGTTTTACTAAACTAACGGCATGCTGAAAATGATTTTGATGACAAAACTCTATTTTCGTGACCTTGTTAATTAACTAATTTTCATAAAGTTTTGAAATTTTCCAGTTTTAACATTCGAATTTTAAGATAGTCTGTCTGTTTTGCCAATTGTTTGTGATATACACTCAAGACCAAATTTGTGTCATCACTTCACCGCCGTATTCGCCAGATTAGACTCCCTATGACTTTTTTCGGTTTTCAAAACTGAAAAATCCGCTTCAAGGAATACGCCATGATTTCATTGGCCCAATATATAAAAAACCGCGCAATTTATATGCATCCGACTGGGTCAGTTTTGATCTGGAGTGTGAATAGGCCAGCTAATGATCTTATTCGAAACAACCGATCTACAAATGTAATATCAATCTTTACCAGCTGGTAAGTAGAACAATCGACACATTTAATAGATAAATAATATATGTATATAAATTTGAAAAAAAAATCGTTTGTTGATTATAAAATTTTGTATTTAATTTAGAAAAAATCATGAAATAGGCATAATAAATGAATAATTAAAAATGCACAAATATGTACTCACAACAACAAAATCAATAACATTAAAAAAATACTGGGAATAAAGAAAACATAACACACACTCGAAAACTTCTACTACAAGCTGAACTTTCAAAATAAAATAATAAAATAACCATCAAAAACACTACCGAACAACTTTTCAAAAGCGCTAAGTTTTGAATGAAGATTTATAAAACAACTAATGAATTACCAAAAATGGATTTTATGGTAATGACCAGTTGAAAATATGCAGTGACTTTTGTGATCTACTGTTTGATTGATTGTTTAGGTCGATCGAACTGATTGACTGGCTGACTGACTGTCGGTTTGATTTGTAAAATTTACTTTTACCGGTCAAGTTTGGTCGGCATTTGGCGATGCAAAGGACTACTCCTTATGCGCGGACTTTCAGTACTGGCACTACAACAATAATAATTAGAATATTTTATAACATGGTTGTTGAATTGCATAAATCTACACACACACATACATACGTACAAGTGAGATTTACCAAAATATTATTTATACAAACTAATACTTGATATTGGTGTTGAAGTGTTTTTTTGTAATTCCTAATTTGTAAAAAAATACTTGTAAAATTACATAATAAAAACTTATAAAGGAAGCACACTTTAACGTAAAAAGTAAAGGCATACTGATCTAGCAAAGCGTTACCAAAACAAAGTTGCTTATTGACTATAAATAAATAATATAAGCATAACTGCAGCAACATTTAAGAATTTCAAAAGATTCAAAGGAAATACCAAAATTGTTTTTTAATATCTAATTCAGATATTGGGTTTTTGGAAATATTAATTTGAATAGACAATGGGGATATATATTTATTTTAGTTAGCTATCCAAGTTGACCGCATTAGATTCCAAAAATTATTTTTTCTAAATGTTGCATTTAACGCAATATATTATTATAAAGCAAAATACTGCACATATTTGTCTATATTTTCAAAAACTGATAATATTCTACACTGAAAGTGTATATAAAATACTATAATAAAAGCATAAGCAGAACAATATTCCTTTTGCTAAGCGTGTAATGCGTGGAAAATGCTTGGGTGTATCAAAACTTCAAATTACAAACATCTACTACTACATTTACTTATACATATATATATATATATATTTATAAAATAAAGGCACATATATTCCGTGCAGCAACTGTTCGAAACTTAAAAAATAATTTGAATACACTTTTGAATTAAATCCGTTTTTGCTACATGTATCATTTGTATGTAAGTATTTGTGTAATAAAGTAATAATTTAACGAAAACGTATGTATACGTTTCTAAACTACCACTCATTTATAGCGGATGTTAATTTTAAATTAAATGTAAGCAAATGAATTTATTCAACCGATCAATTTCCTAATAAATTTGCAATTGTCAAAATAATCCTCTGACATCGGATGTCAGTAAATGTAGAGAGATGCCAATTTGCCGGATGTCAAGGGTGTGCATAGATATTTTATTATAATTTAAGTTCCGATTACTCTTTTTTTATAAAATATATGTTTAGAATAAAATATGTTTGTTCTATTGCATACTATTTTATAATGTATGTATGCAGTATTTAACTATATGTAACAGGTTATATACAACTACATAATTCGTTATTTTGATTTTAGCTCGTTACTTGTTTAAATAAGCAATATGTGTAGCAATTTGTTTTTTTTTTTGTCTAAAAAGCTAGTTTTCACATAACTACTAAATACATATGTATATTCGCGAATGAATGCTAACATTCTTTTGTGTAATATGTTATATGCTTAGGGGAAAAATAATTGATACTTACGGAACTGTTTGTCTGATAGTACTCTCAATGTTGCTGTCTGAGTACAGGCCAATGGGAGAGTTGAATTGTTTGTGGAATACCTAAAATAGGTGGTTAAAGAATAAGTAAAGCGTACAACTAATAATCTTAAATAAAATTTTCAAATTTTGACAGGTTTTCGTGTTTTAATTTCGGATATTTAATTAATAGAGTGGAGTGATTTTCAAATATATCATATTTGTAAACATACCCTGCCAGAATCAGCATCCTGACCAACGACCTTGTGCAACATGGTATCGGCGACGCGTTGCTTCATCACACTGTCATGAAAATCGTGGCCGCGATTAGAGCGCACAGCTGGATTTGGATGATACCTCAAGTATGATTCTGTGGTTGGGGCATCCTTCTTGACCTTGGCACCGGGAAGTACCAATGGAGTTGTTCGGTAAGGCTATAAGAAATATAATGTTTATAGATATAATATAAAAATGTTTTGTTTTAATCTATAAATTCTAATTAAATTCAAAGCAAATAAGAAATCGATCGATATTATTGTTAAGATTAAGATTAAAAGAAATATTGAAAATAATTAATTTGTCAAAATATTGGATCATCTTTTAATCTAATTTTATACTGTTAATAGATACTGTGGTATTAAAATTTATGATATTGAATGGGATTCGAAAATGTCAATGGGGGAAATATTCAAAAATATTTAAACATTATTGCCAAATAGAAAAAAATAATCTTATTTTTATTTTTCGAAAAAAATAATGTTGAATATAAATACAGTATTCACATTAAACGATGTTCCGTTAGGAGACATAAATTAATTGTGGAAATATTTGGAGAGTTCAAAGAAAAAGCAAAGGCACTGCAAATAGGCATTCAGGTTTGTATATAATACGCAGACATATACCATAAATATATACATGTATATACTTAGTTTCAAAACTACAATTATCAAAATGTTTGTATTGGAAGCCTTATGCAAAAACTGGCAGAACATTTTCAATAATTCTAGAAATATTTTTCTCAGAACATATGTATATATACTACATATATACCATACATCCTTATATATACCTAAATATATACATACATATGTTTATATATAGTATTTTTGGGCTCTCATATCTCAGTTTTTCACAATCACCATACTCTCACTACATTCCTTTATATTTAAACTTCTGCTTCTCATTTTATATTTATAATATCTTACGTAATGCCAACTGACTACATATTTCTTTGGTGTTTTTAATTTAGTTTTGGAAAAGCACTAGTAGAGAAAAATAACAGTTTACGTGATATTGGTTCAGATAATATTAATCCCTTACTCATTCTCTAACACAATAGCGGTAAGACATTACATATTTATTTGTGTATGGTATAACGATTATATTTTTGCATAACCTGATACGCCCTGTGCGGAGTGAAATGACAACAACCCAGACAGCTGTATCATATGACAGCTGTCATGCAGTTTTTTGTTTGGCGCCATTTGATTTGAAGCATTATTAATCACTCTGCATTTTTATTATAATTATTGAATAAAAGATTTAAAACTGCTTTTTTAAAATTCATTTGTTTCGTAAAATATTTTATAAACTATGACCACAGTGCGTCGATCAACAAGACTGAGCAGTGTTGGTAGATCAACACATACACCATCAGCTGCAAGCATACAAACACCATCGCGACGTTCTGAAGTTTGGCGTAGACGCCAACCAAAGCATTGTACAACAAGTGACGAGGAAGAAGAAAGCTCTTTGAACAAATCCCCAACGTTAGCAGAAATAGATAAAGAAAATACTAAAACTACCAACATTATGAGTAAATCCAAAGGTAAAACACAGGCAAAAGTCAAAGAATTAAATGATGATCGGGAACCTAAAACACCACGTCGTGTGAAGGCAATACGTACTTCAACTTCCAGCAACAGAACGCCACGAGCAAAAAAACGTAGTAATCAAGAGCAAAATGATCAAAGTGAAGACGAACATGATGTACCAGACTCTGAACAAAATGTATCTCCACCAAAGTTAGCCCGTTGGAAACACAAAACTGAGTTGATCAGCCCTTCTAGGTTAATTGATAGATTAAGTATTGACGAGCGTAAGCAAAACGACAGCGATGAAGAAGATCATCAGACGCCCACAAAAAGAGAAGAAAAAGAAACTCAAATAACACCTACACTTAACAAATACCAAAGTGCGCGACGTGTGCTAAATAGTGCAGAAACGCAATATTTACCGGGACGCGAACAACAGCTGCAAGAGTTAAGAGATTTTTTTCAAGTACATTTACAGGAACAACGTTCCGGTAGTTTGTATGTTTCAGGTCAACCAGGTACGGGTAAAACTGCTTGCCTTTCATTGCTTTTGAGGTCGCCTGAGTTATCAAAACAATTGCAATGTGTTTACATAAATTGTACGTCAATTGCTAGTATAAACGGTGTATATAAGAAGCTATGTGCCGAGCTCAAGTTACATCCTACTGGACGAACTGAACGTGATTATCAAGCAGCTGTGCAGCAACACTTACCTACAGCGCGTCGCATGTTACTTATTGTTTTAGATGAAATCGATCAACTTTGCAGTACAAAACAATCAGTGCTTTACACCATTTTTGAATGGCCTTCATTACCCGGGGCCCGCTTGCTTTTGGTGGGCATTGCCAATAGTCTAGATCTCACCGAACGCACACTGATGCGTCTTAATGCCCGTTGTGAATTAAAGCCACAGCATATGCATTTTCCACCATATACAAAACAACAAATTGTAGAAATATTTCGTGCACGCCTAGAAGAAGCTGGCGTGCTGGAAGTTTTTCCACCTGTTACATTGCAACTTTTGGCAGCTAAAGTCAGTGCTGTGAGTGGGGATGTACGGCGCGCATTGGATATAGGCAGAAGAGTGGCCGAAATAGCTGAACAACAGATGAAGTTAGGGCAGAAACAAGTCAAGCTTGATGATTTGGCTTTGGGAGACAATACTAAAGAAGGTAGTACTAAATCATCTAATCTATTTGTATTATTAAGCTTATATAATAACTTTTCCTTTTTATGCAGTTGTTTTAAAACCTGTGCAAGTGACACAAGTCGCTGAGGTGTTAAATAAAGTATATGGTGTTTCACAGAATTTACAAGAAGACATAGAAGACTCGTTTCCACTGCAGCAAAAGATTGTGTTATGCAGCCTAATGTTGATGCTACGAAAAGAACGTAATAAAGACATAACAATGGGACGATTGCACGAAATATACCGACGCGTATGTGTTAAACGTAACATACATGCTTTGGATCAAGCCGAATTTGCCGGACTAGTTGACTTAATTGAGACACGTGGCATACTACGAATCATACGTAAGAAAGAACCGCGCCTATGCAAAGTAGTGCTGCAATGGGACGAAGAGGAAGTGAATGGCGCTTTGAAGGACAAACAGTTGATTGCTTCAATATTGGACGACACCGCCTGCCTAGGGAATAAATAGCACGGCCTTGCTCTAAATGGTGGTGTATAATAAAATCAAAATAAGACACAAATATTTATTGAAAAAAACTTTAAATCAAATTAATTTTAATATGAGCTTTGTTATGCATATATTTATTAGTTATAATAAAAAACCTTCATATTGACAATACAGTTTACAGTGCATACATTTTGTAGGTTACGTTTTTTTCAAATACGCCGGCGAGAGAAATCGAATATGAAATTGTGACTAATTAATGTTAATTCAGCTCAAAATTGTCTAAAGTTTACAATGGTGTATATGCATATATACATATATATTATATATATAATTTTTTTTTTTTTTGAATTGGCAACAAACTAAATGTTTTTTTTTTAGTTTTAAAAACGAAAAATGTGCAGTGCACCCATAAACCATGGCGCAATGAGCTTTCTGTTGGTATATACTAGATATTTTTTGTCAGTCAGTTGTTGCTGCATTTGTGTGCAGTTGGCGACATTCGTTTGTTCTTGAGAATTTAAAGGTGTACAATGTTTTAAAACATCGTCGCAATTTCTCTGTGTATTAAGGAGGAAGAGTGCAGTAAAATATTCAAGCATAAATAGTATATTTGCATACGTTCGTAAATATACTTTGACCATGAAAATGTACGTATACAAATATGTTTGCTTTTATTCGTTGTTGATGTAATTAATTTTAGATTTTACACAATATATTTAAAATATGCGAAACAAAAATAGATTTGATTGAAAAAGAAAAACGCTTTACCGTTAGTTTTTAATGGTGATTTTTCAAACCACTGAGAAACAATGAATAATAAGAGCTTAAATGCATATATTTAGAAATATTTGCGCATATGTTGACATTTAAACATATTTCAATAACAAAAAAGCGAACGTAGAGCAATCAAATAATCTTGAAAAATAATTTGCACACGAAATTTGTGAAAAAGTGAAAATGGACGTGACGAAGCAGGTGTGGTCTAATTAAATTTGTTTACTGCAAATGGCGTTGATACATATTATATATGTACATACGTTAGTAAATGCATGAAAAAATATTGAAATAATATGGATGTAGAGCAAGATCTATTACTTATATTTATATGTGGCCATATATTCACAACTGAAGAAACCTTCTTTATTTTCGACAATATGGACGTCTTTAATATGTCCTCCAAACAACTTTTACAAAAATATATTATCGAATTTTTCTTGTACTTGTTGAAAGTAAAATTTAAATGTGCATAAATATATCATATAAAAATTTTCCGCTCCCATTAATATATGTACGTCTATTTACTGAACTCTCCTTAACCCAAGATTAATTATTTTTATTTACAGAGAAGATACATTTTATGCTTGCAAAATCTGCTGTATACTTTATGGTTTTGTAAAAGCAAATATTTAAAGCACATACATTGATATATACACAATACTGTAAAAGTTGTACATACATGCAGTGTAGTAAGTCTTTTGTGAGTCCTAAAAGTCAAAATGATAATGCGAGAATAAATTTATTTTACAACAAATGTTTATAGGCGTGGTGTTCCACATACTAGCATGTGCTATGCATATATGTATATGTACGCCTGTGCGCCTGTTGCTGCTAGCCAACCACGGCGAAAGTATAAATTGTGGCAGTAATGATAAATCCGATAGACTTTAATGTTATTTTCATTTTCGTGCAGCTTTTTTTCATTTTTTATTTCAAATAAGTTTTTTTTTGCTTTTTTTTTGTCAGTTCGCTAACGAGTTGTCTGCGCTTCCTCAGCTTTCTAAAAATAATTCAGATATACATATGTATATTTGAAAGGCGTACATTTGCGCTACTATTGATCCGATACATTTGCAAAATTTTTGAATTTTCAAAATATCACTAATTTTCATCTCATTTAACTACGTGTTGTTTGCATTAGTGTATGTGTTTGCTTTTTATTTTATTTTGTTGAATATTCTTTTCTCGATGGAGAATGTACAGACGTACAAAGCTTGTGCATATTTTTCATACGGGAATTTGAGTTAGAATATTCTAGAGACCACCAGTAGGCGCATGTGGGTGCTTTGTTTACAAAGTGTATTTAATTTTTTCTGTTTTTGTGTCTTTGAAATGCGCAAAAATGTATTTATAATAAATAAATATATAAAAGTAGGGAGATCTTTGGCATGTTAGCTGTTGGAAATCGACCATTATATATACATACATATGTATTTATGTAGCTTGATATGATATAGGTAGGTAGCTGTGGTGGTACATATGTATATATTGTATATACATAGTACAAATTTAGTGCTGGATATGCATATGTATGTATGTATATACTTGTATGTATTTGCGCCAATATACTCGTAGAAATATTATAGCACATATGTATGTATGTAAAAAAGACATTATTGAGCTTTAAATATTGAAAAATAATGTTATTTAATAAGTTATATTGAAAGCAGTTTAGAATTTCTAAAAAAAAATCTAAAATTAACAATATTTTTTTAAGTTTGTTTAAGCTTATATTATTTTCATAAATTTTTTAAATTTCAAATAAAAAAAAATAAAATTCATATTAACTATGTATGAAGTTTAGTAATATTATCGGCTTTTGATATTATTTATTACAAGATTTTTATATTTATAACGGTATATAATACCTTAGTACAATAATATTTAAATTTCACTCATTCACTACCAGTTTTTCAAGCAAAATAATCATGTTTAAAAAAAAGAAAATTTCAAACTGCAGTGCCCCGTTATTGTTCACTCTATTTGTAACGATAAATAATAGTTCATTATAGTAATTTTTAAATTTCACTAATTTGTTACCAGTTGTTTTTTAAACAAGTTAATCATACCTTGAAAAAAATTTTTAACTACAAAGTCAACCGCTAGTGTTGACCCTGTTTATAACGGTATGTAATATCATATTACAGTAATTTTTAAATATCACTAATTTATAAACAACTTTTTTTTTAAATAATATATTATTATTTTGAACAAAAAAATTGTTTTTATAGTTAACCGTTATTTTTGCCCCTCTACTGTGTATGCATGTACGCAAGTACAAATGTAAATTAAAAACAAATTTATAATTTCCTTAGTTGCGTGGCTTACTTGGTATTGAATGCATTCATTCAGGTCCGGTTGGGCCCTATAGTAGTGTGGGGTTCCGTTTTTGAATTGGACGTATTCCATTTTTCTCTGTGGTTTTGTGTGTTTTGTATGTGTGCAACTTTAAATTTAATTTGTCAACGCCCTTATTTTGAGGGAAAAAAGTAGAAAAACAAAAAACAAAACGAATAATATAGCAACAATTGTGACAATTATATAACAAATTAACACTATGCAACGTCACTAGTATTTATAGTTCTTTTTGTTGGTCTACGAAATTAGCTTAAACATAAATTTAAGAAATATTAGACAATTAAAATATTTATTTAAAAAAAAAATCGACCAACTTTTCCGTTGAAACTGTTCAATTTTGTAGAATAGATCGTTTTCACTTGCTCGTCAATTCGTACTCGTAGTTTAGAGATCGTTTGGAATTTTGTTAATGTTTTTTTTTTTGCTTGTGTTCACTACTTAAACTTCTAAGGATTTGATCTGAATTTTTCAATATTCCGAAAGCAACTGAATTTTAATTTTTCACAAATTGGCGATGTTTTCCACATCTGTCTGAATTTTCAAATATTTAATCCACATATTGTATATACTAATATGTATGTATAAGTTATATATAAGTACATATGTCTGAATTTACATAGGCTAGCAACAATAATGATAATATCAGCAAATGTTCAGAAAAATTTGAATTTTAATATTGGCGCGCCATATAATGATGCTTCCGAAAGGAGAAGAGAGCCTATATACATATACATATGTAGATATGTATGTATGTGGCCTTTAACGGCCGAACAATTGCGTACAGCCACACAAATTAGTTCATCTCGTACATTCCATTGGCCATAGCCAGACGGTCATTTGAATGAATCTCTTATATACATATACACATATGCATACATACATATTTACTTACATATGTATGCGTGCAGTGGGAGCTATAGAGAACGAACCCAAATGGCTTGCTTGGCCAGAGAGAATTTATATGAATATAAGCCGCGAGCATTTATTTCATTTCAAAATTATTTTCTATAATACCGTTATGTGCAATAATGAAAAGCAATAAACTTGGACTTGTGTACGGCATATTTAGCAACACCCACACGCTTTTTAGCCAAGGTAGCATCGCGCGGAGGGTGGCAGGTGGCAGCCGTGGCCAACTGTGTGGCACTGAACAATTTCGAAAATTTGGAAAATAAAAATATATTTCACGCCTTCGAGATTGTTATACTCGGACCCAATGCGAAAATTTTCGAGTTATGTACATGAAAATTGGTGGACGTGGGATTTTAACACAATTTATGTGCATGTGTAAGTGCGTAAATTTACTTCATTTTTTTTTGTTGGTTAGAATTTTCGAGATCTTAAAATAGAGCAAGACGAATTTTACGACAGTACGACTGTTCGCTTAGTTTCTTTCGCGCCCACACAAATATTGTTGTACGAAAAATATCAGCACACGCAGGTTTTCGAGATCTCAAACAAGTGAGTGGTGAAATTTACTACCATACATACATACATATGCACAAGTGTATGTATATAAAGTGTTTTTGAGTCCCTATTGGCCACTCTATTTTTGTGTGCAAATTTATTGTATTACATAAAGGAAATGGTTTTCGAGATCTTAAGTATTTGGGCGCTGAAATTTTGTATGATTATATAAATAGTTTTTGAATCATCACCGTCCACGATGTTATTTTTCACATTTAAAAACAACGATTGTGTTGAGGCCGCAGAACTCTTTGTGGAATGGCATCATATATTTTAACTAACTAACAACTAATTTCTTAATTTAATTAACGAGTCCCTCAGTTTTTGAGATACTGACCTGAAATTTTTTTATGTAACCAGATATCTTTACGATACTTAGCGCGCTATGTAGTTTAAGGCAACGGTACAATCTCCAAAGAAATTATTCTGCACGGACTACTATGGGACATATCTACCATACAAACTGGTTAATCATAAGCAAGTCCTTGTATGGAAATTTTTTTTTATTTGACAAGATATCTTTACGAATTTGGCGTAGATTATTGTCCAAGGCAACGCTAAAATCTTCGAATAAATTGTTTAGATCGGACTCTAATAGCATATAGTAGTTGCCCTATAAACTTATCGATCGAAATCAAGTTAAATATCTTTTTATAACCTTTTATGCTATAAGAAATGCAGCTGTTAAGGCTATTATAGCTTCGGTATAGCTGAAGTTAACATTCTTCTTGTTTTTATTAAATTTTTAACAATGAAAATATCGGCAAAATAGGTTCTCCAAAAAATATTTTTTCAAATATATTCTAATGTCCACAAAATCTGTGCAGTAATAAGATTACCAGCCTCTGAAAATAGACTTAGAACTTTTTCAACGGCTTCTCTAAACTAAATTCTCCTGAGTAGTTTTTTGTTTTTCAACCGTTTGGATTTATGTATGTATGTATAACTGTTAAGAAGAAAACTACCAAAATATAGAACGCCTCATACTTCTTTTTATATGTATATTAAATATGAAGCGAGTAGATTTAGAAGCTTTCAATAATTTTATAAAATTAGTTAAATCTAAAAACATTATATTTCTACAGAGAAAAAAGTTATTAATAATACTCTAAGAGCGGGTTAATCTGAGATGAGATTAGCTTTCGGCATTGTAAAGGGAATGAAATAGCTATACTCATATCATTGGAGGAATATTATTGTTGATCTTGAGCGTATATTAACAATAATTCATGTACATATTTAATACAGATTTTAATAGAAATATATATTTTTTGATTCTCTGCATTATTATCCTTAGATTTGTAGTATTAAATAGATAGATAATAAAGACGCAAAAAATATATAACTCAAATATATAATTTTTTTAAATTAATTAATATTTCTGCATAAAATTGTTTTTTCTCTTTATCTGTTAAATAAAAAAATTTTTATTAAGAATTTTTCTATGTTTATATTAAAAATAATTGCTTTTGAGTAGCAGGGCTGTCAAATTCTAAGTTGAATAAACCAATTAGTTGCAGAAATGCAAGCCTGCATGGGATGCTTATACATATGTACGTCTATATATCAATCCAAACAGTGTCAACATTAATTTAATGTCACATTTAGACTTGGTACGTTTGCTCTTTGTTTCTCATAGAACATTTAACTTGTTTTCAATGACCAATCTTAACCTCATTTAAGTAAATATGTGGATAAGCAATTTTTATATACAAGGCTAATGATTAAATATATGTACATATGTATATAGAAAATATAGACATATAAAAATAAATATATGAATATATACATATGTATAGGCACATAAGCATTTATAATAGCTAAATATGTATATATATATATATATATATGCTCCTTATATACACCTGTGTAAAATAAAAAATTTTTAATATACATATATATGTATATATATAATATTATATTTGTATATGTATATGTAAGTCGTAATCATGTGTGTATCTCCTCTTATTGTGATTGAGCGCATCCCACCTACAATCTTATAAATAAATAAACAAACAAAATAATAAAAAATCACACACACACAACAATCAAACTGCTAACAGCAAAAAGCATGAGCAATGAACGTTCAACATTTGTGCTGTAAACACCTTGAAGTGCTAAAATTACACCGTCACATGAACTGTCCTTGAAAATTTTTTTGAATCATCATCAACACGCGAGCATCATCATTAGCTACATCATCACTGTCGTTGAGGGAATTTATACTTGTTGTTGTATTCATATTTGTGAAAGTTGCAGCAATGGCAGCAAGTAAGAATGGGGTATGTTAGAACTCAGCAAGTTTCAGATTACTCATACGCCGAGGTACACTCAACTGCTGTATCAAACATGCAGCCATAAACACATAGTATGTATGTGTGTAGTGTATATAAATATTTACAAAATCATTAATTTGACCCACTGTGTTAATAATCATTATCATTGCCTTCATAATTATCATCAGCAGCTGCGCATTATTACGGATGTCAATGTCAGAAAGGTATTTCAAATAGACAGGCAGGCAAATATACGCACGTACGTTTCAACAGCTTGCATATGCAACTACAAAATTTTGTTTGTTGTTTTTGTTGGCTACCACTTCTGCAGTTGGTTTGCGTTTGGCATACGTCATAGCCTCTTCTCGAATATATTTTCTTTATTTTCCTTGCGCATATGCTATTAGTTTGTACTATTTAAAAATATTGAAAGTAAATATTCGAAAAACAAGAACAAAAACTAAATTCTATAAGACGCCCTCCATCGCAAGTGACCTTTGCTGCGGAGTTCATGCTCTCACTTAGGGATTAAATGTACAAGATGACTAGCCTTCAACGAAAACACAAGGCACAATAACTTATTGAAAACACACACATGTATAAACACATGCAAACATACACTAATATTACAACATGTTTTGGCTGGCTCGGCACTGACAATTCTTACATTTAATCGTATATATGTTTGGGCAGATGTTTTTTTTATGCTTCTCCTCCTATTTGTTTATAGCATGTGCCATCATTTTCATGGCAGTATTACCATACATGCGTTCGGTTTCCCTTGTCTATTGAGTGAATGCTTTTATAAAAAACGTTTTACATTTTTGGAAATTGGGTCAAAATCGGAGTGTTGCAAATCGATTTTTTATATATCGACAAGTTCTACCTTTAAAAAAGCATACTAATATTTAAAAATAATTTTTGAGTTATAGCCATTTAAATATATATTTCTATATCTGTATATAGTTCTCCATACAATGACATAACACAGCAACAACAACCCAAAAGTTCGGGTAAAATTCAACTTTTGTCCAAATTCCCCGCCAATTTGTTAATTTTTAATTTTTTTCGTGACCATAGGCCATTGTATGTCTTCCAATTTAACGAGAATTTTTTTAGGTTTCATCCTTGGAAAAGGAGCGAATCACGGCAGCAGCGGAGGACCTTTCTTTTAGCGCCATCGGAGATCGAATGTATGTAATTGGAAAAATATTTAATTTTCATACTTCTCACAATTTAGGATCCTAAAAATATTATTCGATTGGTAGAAGGGTCAATCACATTTCCTTCTGAAATTGTAGCAGTAGCTTCATAGTAATATTATTTAGTAAACTTCGGCGAAAATTTAACCTTAATTTTACAAATATGCAAAAATTTTTTGTAAAACGATAAGCATATGTATGTACTTTACTGACAGATCTTATACAGATTACATGTTCCTTGAAAAAAGTGATTCCGAAAATTGTCCCATTAGCAGAAATTTTGTATCGAACTATTAATACATTTTTTTTATATTTGTTTCCTCTTTTCTTACTCCCAGAATAAATTGTCAATTATACGTTTTTTGAAAACTGACAGAACATTTAAAGTCTGGGAATCATTAGAAAGACTACCTAAGGTTAACCAAAGTGATAGAATAATGGAAAATTCAAATCTATTTTTAGTTATCAAAAGACTTAGTTAAAAGTATCAGTCTCATAATACTTTTAATATATGTGCATTTCAAAAAACCTATTGGCGTACTAAAAACTTATATGAAAAATAAAAATTGGAAAC